CAGATTCAATATAATATTTTGATCATCACATGTACTTTGAAAGTTCAATAGTTATAACCTCAGTTACAACTCAGTCAAGTTAGAAACTTTTTATCTTTGACGTTATTTCTGTAGGAAACGAATAATTACATCATTTATTCGATCATAGCACAACAAAATTGATTTATTCATAAGTAAATTTAATCTGAAAGTAAAATATTTGATATACAATAGGGAGCCAATTGTTGTGGTAAAATTTATATATTTTCAACAACATTACCAATTGCTGTTGCTCCTGGAAAATTATCAAATCGTGATGATAAAAAATTACTTGGTACTGATAAAGAAAAGGTTTGCTTGTTTGTTTATTTCTATTGTTTTTTTTAATGTTAAATTAAATTTAAAACATATATCTTCAGATACTTCTTTCACCAGTCGATAATTTGTATACAAAACTTGGCGAAGAATGTGTTCAAAATGGTTGTGCTATTGATTTATTTGTTTTTCCAAATAATTATATTGATCTTGCTACAATTGGTGAAGTTTGTCGTATATCTGGTGGACAAATTTATAAATTTAATTATTTTTCAGTAAGATTATTTTTTTTTCATTTCTAAAAAACATTTAAGTTTTTTTTCTTTGTAATTTTCAAGATTGAGAATGATGGTGAACGTTTATTAGATGAACTTAAACGTAATTTTCAACGAACTACTGTTTTTGATGCATTAATGCGTATACGAACAAGTGCAGGTACTTTAAAAAACAAAAACTTATCACTAATCAATAAAAAAAAAAAATTATTTCATATTCAGGAATTCGACCAGTTGATTTTCTTGGTAATTTTCATATGACAAATGCAACTGAAATGATATTTGGTACACTTGATTCTGATAAAACAGTATCTGTTGAATTAAAACATGATGATAAATTGTCTACTGAAAATAATATTCACATTCAAGTAAGTTAAATTATTTTAAATTTACTGATTATTTGTTTCTTTTTTTTTGCTTTCTTTCGTTGTTCAAATAGGTTGCTTTACTTTATACTAGTATATCTGGTCAACGTCGTTTAAGAATCTTAACATTAGCATTAACAGTAACATCATCATATACATCACTTTATCCATCATGTGATCTCGATACAATTATGAATTATATTATAAAAATTGGTTAGTAGAAATATCAAAAACAAAATATAAAAGATTTATTTTTTTTTTAAATTTGAATAATTATTTTAGCTATTCGTTCAATTTCAATGTCAACTCCAAGAAGTATACGAGATAGTATAATAACGCAAGCTGCTAATATGTTAGCTTGTTATCGAAAATATTGTGCACAAACAACAACACCTGGGCAATTAATTTTACCTGATACATTAAAATTATTACCTATTTATGTGGCATCATTAATTAAATCTGATGTTTTAACTGGCAGTATGTTGAAAGTTTTCGTTTTTTTTCTTTATATATTTATTAATATTAATATTATTTATATATTTAGCTCAAACACTGACAACTGACGATCGAAGTTGGTTAATGCATCGATTAATGTCAATGAATATAAAAGGAACATCTGTATATTTATATCCAAGAATTTATCCATTGGTTTGTAGATTATTGAAAAAAAGAATTTTTTTGATTTATTAATTTTATTTTGTTTTAGCATACTTTGGAAGAAGATAAAATTCCACCATCAATGGTTCGATGTTTATATGAACATCTATCTGATTCAGGAGCTTATGTTATTGGTAAGATAATAAATTTTATATTATATTCTTTAGATTATGCATAGAGAGTAGCATTTAACAATTGTAAATAGACACAAGCAAGACTAATCCAACATATATTAAAAGACCGGAGTTTGGTGAAAAAATCCTTCACTTAAACCTTTTTAATCTTTCTGTCGTTGAGATAATGCTGAATCATGTTTATTGGAGAATAAAAGTTACATAAGAATAAAAAAGAAAGTAATAGCTTATATATGCTTAACGGGAATAGATTTTGGACGATAAAAAAAAGCTATTATCACCTAAAATGAAAACAAGAGAAAAAGAGAAAGCTACCAATGATGCGAAGAATAGAGAACGATTAATATTAAATTTCATTTGTATCAGCAGTAATGTACATTTAGTAAATGTATAAAATATGGAGTTCTTTTGTTTTGTATTTGAAACATAATCATAGTGAACTAACGGAAATGTAATAACGATAGTCGATCTTTTAAGGATAGAAGTTCATAATAGAAGACTCGGAGTCTTTTATTGTGTATGCGTGGGAGAAGGGGATAGCCGTTTTTAGTTCTGATCCCAGTTCTAGTCTAAAAGAAACTGATTTCGATTCCACCGGAAACGGTGCTATCTTGCCTATATCCAGCTCTAAATATCTTTTATGAGTTAGGTTAAAGTTTATCTTATTCTGATCAGATTTCGTTTACAAAATATTAAACAATGTATTTGAAATTAAATTCTATTAGAAACAATATAAACTTAGTTTTCTTCTATCTAAATGTTTTTTAGAGAATGGTTTTGTTATGTATATCTGGCTTGGTAGTCAAATAGATCCAACATTTGTACAATATTTATTTGGTCTTCAATCAGTAGCAAATATTCAACCAGAAAAAGTAAAAAATTTAATCTATATACATATGTTTGTATATTAAAGTACTATTTATCTTTAGTGTCATATTGTTGAACTTGATAATCCAATATCGAAGAATGTTCGAACATTATTAAAAATAATTCGTAATGAACGAAATTCTCATATGAAAGTATGTTAATTAGAAAAGGAAAAGATTTCTTTTTTTTTTCTATTATAATTTTTCTTTTTAGTTTTTTGTTATTCGACAACGTGATTCAATAGAATTATTTTTCAAAGATTATCTTGTTGAAGATAAAGGTTTTACAGGAGGTGCATCTTATGTTGATTTTCTTTATTATTTACATCGTGAAATTCGGAATATTCTCCAATAGAAAAAAGCAATGTTTTTGTTTTTATTTTTATTTTTTGATCATTGGGTTTTGAATTTATATATGTATATTGCTTGTTATTATTGTTATTGTTATTATTATTTTTCTGATTATATTTCTTGTATAATCAGTCAAATGGATAAAATTTGTGCAAAAAATAACGAGCATTCTTATTCTCTCATTGTTATATTTTGTCCTGCGTTTTAGCTCGTCTGACTTTTATCTTATTGATCTAAATAAAAAATAAATAAAAACTTTGATTATGTTGTTGATCATTGTTTTGCTTAAATTTATACTATAAAGTCAGTATACATAAAATGTTATATCCAAATAACTGTTATATAGAAATACATTTATTTTTTCTAGCAAAAAGAAACAAATCTTTACATCATTTCATACAAGTATCCATTTGAAATCATTTCCTAAATGCAAATATAAATCTTTAAGAATATGACTCATTTATTTCATTCCATCAGCTAGTGATGATTTCATGTTTTCGATCGGTTTCATTTAGAACTTGCGCATATGATACTTATTCTAATTTATCATCGTTCAATACGAACTCTTTTGATTTCGAGGAGATTCAATACCTCTTATCAAATTATAAGTACGTTAAGCAAATAATAATAAAATGAACCTCAACCTGCTGTTAAATAGTGATAAAAGACTTCGACTCAATTGAATGATGATATCTACTCATAAAGAATCTCTGTTTTCATTGATGGATATCTTATTTTTATATGAATACGCTACTATTGTTATGCACCCATGCTAAAAAAGGCAAGATATTCGACTATAAAAAGAATTATTTCTTCATCTCAAGAATAAATTGAAATGACAATATTTTTACTTAACTATAATCTGATTTTTAGTTGTCAAGTTTTAATTTTTTTATTATCAAGGTATTTTTGAATTCTCTCTAATCAATGAAAAAAGATTCGTCAATTTTTATCAATTAAAATTGATCAATAAATTTTAACCGATTTATAACAGAGTTATGATCATTTTTATACATGGGTGATATTTTTTGAAAATATGCAAAAAAAAAGATATGAGCACTGAATATAAACATGATATAAATTTTTCGTTATGTTATCCACCTATTCCATAGTTGACTTCAGTTTGCAGACCCCAAGAGTAGGACAGGGTGAAAAATTTTGTATGAATCAGTTTCAGCGCAGGACAGAGTAAAGCAAGGCAAGGCAACCGCGAAGGGTAGGACGAAAAAAGGTCCTGTGACAGTCTCTGACGCATAGTTTGTAATAATAATTAATCAAAAAAATTTCATGATTTTCATGAACTCTATATCAAAAACACGAAAAAAAATGACATTTCGGATGATAAAACAGACATTAATTTTGATGCATTTCAAATTCATTGATTAAAAGAAACATTTTAACGAAGCAAATGCAATGAGATTGACTTTTGATCAAAATCATGGAGTTAAGCTGAAGAAGCTGCTTGTTTTAATCAATGAATTCGAAATACATCAAAATTAATGTCCATTTCATCATTTTAATGTAGTTTTTTTTATTATTTTAAGTCACTGAATGCTATACACATGAATTTAATCATTCAATAGCCTACCAAGCACACTACCATTTCTCTCCATGAACTTAGACATATACTGTTGAGTTTTGCTTAAACAATGACATTCAGCAACAAGTAATCTTCCGCATTGATTTGATTGACAAACAAATGAAACATAACATGGTATTGCTGCTTGTAAATCTGTATAAATCGGCTTCAACTCATTATTTAAATAAACTAATAGAGTAATATTTGAATAATAAAAAAAACTAACAACACTATTTTCATTACTAACATTTTCTTAGATAGATGCTTTCTTTTTTTTTCATAGTTATTAAACTGTAATTAGAATTAACAATCACCTATTGTCGATTCAATGAAATAATTTAATCATAGAAATAGTATTCATTCTATTTATAGCAACAAATTGAATAATCATGAAAACTATTAAACTAAATGTTTACAAATATACATAAAAAGAATATATAAAAATGGAATGTCAAATGAGATATCAAAAAAGGAAATAATTAAACGCAAAAAAATTGTATTAATATAAAAAAAAGTACAAAAATTGCTGATATATTTAAATGAGATGTTCCATTACATCCATCATGTGAACATGTATATGTGCATGAATAGTACATTTTTTCATCTTGAGGATATTTTACTTCAATACATTGATTATCCATATCACGTGAACTACAAAAACGTTTTGTAGCCACAGCACCTAGAAAAAAGAACGAATGATATTAATATTCATGAAAGAAGATTTCTAACTTACGAAGAAATGTTCCCAAGTATGATTCCACAATCGAGCTGATGTTTTGCTCATAAATAGGTCCCGACGAGACTCGTAGAATCTTATAAGGACTCGTACCTATGAGCTGTCCCCCTTCCTAAGTTATAACAATTTTGCTCAATTTTTTATTTCTGGCAAAGTATTTGTGGCAAAATCAAATTTCGGCCATAGTAAAATCATGTGGACATTTGAATGCTCTAAATATTTCAACCCAAAAAGATATGTTGTTCATAAGATATCAAATGTTGATAACACCGGGTTTTCTGATCTTTTCTTATGACACATTATTGTGTTTTGGATATTCAATATCTATAACAGAACAAATTCTTTTAGGCTGAAATTTTCAAAGCATTCTAATATTTATGAATGATTGAAATAACACGGGAAAAATAGTGCATGAAGACGACCTGTTACAAGTTTCTACTAGTCTCGTCGAAGACTACTTCAGTTCGATTGATGAGTCACATTTGAGGATTTTCCCTCATTATCTATGAGTGGATTTCGAAAAGGACTATTAAACAGAAAAGAGAAACATATTCTAATGTAGAGAATTTTTTTTGACGTATAATAGAAATACACAAAAAAAACCAATAAAATAATGTAAATCTCAATCGATAAGAACGAGTCTTATTGAACTTTAATAAAAAGATTTCATGACAAAATGTTTTTATCAATATAAACGTCTGTCTTCTATTTCCTTAGGGTCCCCTTCCTTTTGTGACCTAAAATTTTTGTTTTTTGTGGTTGCTATCGTATAGTCTAAAGTAGTATCTATCTAAAGAGTACATTTTGAAATACAAAAATGATCTTTAAAAGTTCAAAAAATTCGAAAAGAAATCAAATTAGCGAAAAATGTACATCGTTTCGCATTTTTCTCAAACTAACTTTTTTTCATGAAAAAAAAAGTACAAAAGTATTCTCATTTCTCTGACTTAGTATGTCTCATCAAGCTAAAACGTTTTTCACTTTCAAAAAATATTGTTCTGCTGATTTTTAGTAGCTCTATTAAAAAAAAAGAACATGCATTTTTTATAGAACCTTCAATATTTTGACTATTTGATTCGAAGAACAAAAAATAGACAGATATTCACTACAAATAGTGTGGAGTACCTGTAAAAAACAAATTTTTGCTGGATCGAACATAGGATTTCGGAGAGGTAGGGAAACGAAAACTGAGGCCAATTTTCACCATTGTGACCCTAATATCTCATAGAAGTTTTTCTGATGAGCCCTTTTCCAAAAATACTGAAAGAAGAGGTGATACCCTTAACAACTTGTAATAACAAAAGAAAACCTTAATCAAACCTCCAAAAACAGCAATTGTCTTAATACAAAATCGAGCGTCTTGTACACCATCAGGTCCACCACATTCGATAGGTAGTATATCTTTACGTGTCCATGTTTCTGGACAATGTTCATCTTCTTTTGAATCACATACAAAACAATTTATTGAATTTGAAACTATAATAAAATATAAATATTCTTTTCAATATATTGATTTTAAAATTCTCTTACTATTAATAAATATTCCAAAAATGAAAATGAAACAAATCAAATATTTCATGATTATATCTATAAAAGTTCATTGTAGACAAGAATTATTATAATTAAAGACACAGAAAAAAAAAATATACAAGTTTTATTTTTATTTCTTTGCACTTATATATAACACATAGACAAAAAAGAGAAAAAAATGTTAATTTAAAGAAATTGTGAACAAAATGCATCAATAGCATCAGCACATTGTTTAGCTTGATGACGATTTGCACCAGCATTATCTCGTATCCAAAGTTCAAAATATTCTTTATTTTTTAATAATGTTAAATAAACACCCAATAATTCATAACCCTTAAAAATCAAGAAAGAAGAAACAACAGTTAATACAAAAAAAAAAGGACCAAATAAATCATACTTTTGTAATACCAGATCCTTCCAAATTACTTGCTAATTTTGGTCCAATGCCAGGTATTTCATTAAGATGTTTATCTTTCAATGGTTCACTTGTAAAATCACGAAATTTTTGTGATGTTGTTGATGACATGATTTAATAATCTAGAAATAAATGAACTAATAGGTTTTATTCAACAGAATCAGAAAAAAAGGATAACATCATTAAATCTTTTTATTAAATACACAGAAAATAACAACAACAAAAAAACATCTTTTAAATAAACGCTTCAGCCCATTCAGATAATGCTTCTGCTGTTGTTTTAGCTTGATGGCTATTTGCACCACATTGTGTTTGAATCCAGTCTTGAAATTGTTCGATATCTTTATTACATAATAAATATTTACCAAATAATGTATATGCCTAAAAAGAACGAAACAAATTTCGTAAATGAAATAAAACAAAAAATAACAACAAACGTTTTCGTAACCAGCTTCAGATAATTTTGTTCCAAGGACATCACCTATACCAGGAACATCTTGAATACTTTTATTACCAAGTGGTTCAGCCATAAATTCACGAAATTTTTTTGTTGTTGAAGAACTCATCGTTAAGAAATTACTAATATGAATGAGTAAGTGCCCTATGAAAAATGATCTTTTTTTTGTCTGTGCCTGTATGTCAACCACACATATAACCGATGATTCATCAAGAACATTTCGTATTGGTTGAATCATTATTTGAATTTATTGGATGACTTTTCTGACCTTAAATCAAATGATTCATCATTCAATAGAAACAACAAATGCGAATTGTTATCGATATAATGAAGCATGTATATTATAGACTACAGATATAACAATTTTTTTCTTAATTAACTAGACTTCTCTCTTCCTGTATATATATAAAGAGTGTCCTATAATAACCGATGATAAATAGTTAACAGTATTTTTCATACTTTTTCTTGACATAGAGAGCTAAAATTTTTATCACATATATATTTAATCAAGATTCTTTATTTCTGAAGGTTTCAGTTCTGTAGCTATGACTACCGATAAAATACATACATTTTCGAACTTGATTTCTGCATTATTTCCACTGTTAAAATAAAATGCAAAAACGAGTACGAAAATTTATGTATTTCACCATTATTTATAGCTAGAGAACTGAAACTTTTAGAAATAAAGGATCTTGATTAGATACATATGTAATAAGAATTTTACCTCTCTACAGCACGAAAAAAATGTGAAAAATATTGATAACCATTTATCATTAGTTATTATGAGACACTCTTTATATATAACAAAGTTGATATAATACGTTTTTACTATATAAACTGATATATTCAGTCGACGTCTATTTTGATATATGATATATGTGAAGATCCACTTTAATTTCAGTAAATAGGTGTTATATGTAGAATGAGAGAAGAATAAAATAAAAATAAAAAATTTTACTTTTATTTCAGATTTGTCCGTTGTTTTTATAGCACATATAGATTTATAATGGCTAGTGGACAGACTTCAAGTTTACTTATTGATAATGTACAAAAAATTTTATCAGTTTATGTACCAAACTATAATCATGATACTCTTAACAAATTGTTGACATTAATGGGTGTTAAATCACATGGAACAATAACTTGTATGAAAAAGAAATTTACCTCCGCCTCCCCCCCCCCCCCCCCCAAAAAAATAATTTTTATATTTATTTTCTAGTTTCTGATAATAAATCTCATCAAGCAGATTTTATTCGTATACCAAATGATGCACCTGTTATGCATGTTCAAGAATTCTTGAATCGACATTGGTTTGATGAAGTAGGTTATTTAGATTTCTTTTTGGAAAAGAATATATGTATATTTTTTTTAGCCTCCATCACTTGTCATATCAATAACTGGTGGTGCAAAAGAATATAATATGAAACCAAGATTATTAAGAGCATTTCGACGTGGCCTTCTTAAAGTTGCTCGAACAACCGGTATGAAACAAGTGAAATAGTTTTAATGAGAAAATAACTAGGATATCAAACATTGCGTTTAAAAACTTCTTCTTGATGATTTTTGAAATTAGTCATCAAATTTGATATATATATATGAAAGAACTGTTAGATATTTAGTTAAGTCTTGTTTTCGTTGTATGAATTATTACATATGTTAATTATATAATGTGTCACAAAATGGGATAAATAATAGAGCGTAACTTTCTTGCTATGAATTTTTAAAATTTTTAATTGATGTCATTGAAAAAAAAAAATATTTTATTTCTATTGTTCAATTTTAGGTGCATGGATTATTACTGGTGGCATGAATACAGGTATTATGAAACTTGTCGGTGAGATTGTGCAAATAAATCCTGATCGTTTTCGACCAATTCCTTTAATTGTAAGTATTATGTAATTAAAGGATTTTTTTAAAAATAATCAAATAATATTAGGGTATTGCTACTTGGGGTTGTGTATCCGGTCGTCAGGATCTTGATGTACATGGCTCAAATGTACAGTATGCTAAATCACGTAGTAATACAAAAGGTGAAGCACCACTTGAACCAAATCATACAAAATTTATTTTTGTTGATGATGGAAGTGAAAAAAAATATGGTCGAGAAATAGCTTTTCGAGCTAAACTTGAACAAGCTATATCTGGTGGATTTTTTTCATCAAAAGCTACAACAAATTCTTTAAATCAATATGCAAGTTTATGTGGAACTTCGTCTTTACGACCAGAAAATTCAGGTTCATATAAAAATTTAATCTTGTTTGTTAATAATAATTTTTCTTTTGATATAGGTCCAGTACCTGTTGTTCTTCTTGTTGTCGAAGGTGGTCCAAATACAGTTCGAACAGGTAGAAAGAAAACAAAAAGATTATTTATTTAAAAAAAAAATAAATTAAAATTAAAATTTTTTATTTGTTTATAGTCAAGGAAGCTGTTGTTGAAAATAACATTCCAGCTGTTTTTCTCGAAGGAACAGGTCGTTGTTGTGATTTATTTGCTAAAGCATTCCGTCTTTATAATGAATATCGTACAAAAATTGAACCTGATGATGAAGCACCATCAAAGTAAATATGAAAAGAGAACTATTCATATATTCATATTAACTTCTAAAAGTTATTTGTTTTGAGATTTTAAAAATTTATTGAATAATTCTATTTCATAGGAATAATGTATCGGAAATAGAAATAATTCCATACAATGCGAGATTGAGTTCGAACATGAGTTTCAGAAGAGACGAAAAAAAAAATGTCGAATTCCTTTAGACCATATTAGCGACTTCTCAAGCAACTATAATTATATTTCTGTTGGAAAGAGCAATGTTAGAACTACAAATTTTGTACTAGATGCATTTTTTCAGAACCGATTTATAGAGGAGGAAAAACCAAAAACCCAACGTCTTTGTAAAAAGCTCTGGTAACGTTTTTGCAACTGTGAACATCGGTATTTTTCGATTAATTCGGACTACGTAGACCGAATTTTATTAAAAAATATACAGAAATATAGCTCATAAAAAACATCTTTTAGATTTATTTCGAACTGGTTAATTAAAACGATTTGAAAAATGAAATTTTCTAAAATGAAGTCTTTTACTAGAACTATGGATTTCCAAAAACATTAGTTACCATCTCAAGAAACTATGCATAACTTTAATTCTTTTTGCGTTATTTGTTCGAACTATGTCGAATCATAGAAACTTAGCAGAAATAAATTATTTCATCTCTTTTTTAAAAATCAATACTTTAGTATAAAAATCAAGAGCAAATTTAACTTCCAAATCACCATTGAAAAAGCCATTCGTTATGCTACAAAAATCATCATTAAACATATTTTTGCTGGATGGTGTAGTTGCAAGAGCTTTTCTTAAAGGTGTATTTGATTTTCGGTTTTTCCTCCGTTTCAAGCTTCTTCTAAAAAAAATATGTCTGATACAAGATTTTCTCTTTCCAGGAAAAACATATTTGATTAACTTAGAAATCGTCAATATGATCCGGTAGAGTTGACATTTTTTCAAGGAGGTAAATGCAGTATTTGAGCACCGGATTTTACTATAAGATGCTGTAGTGCTCATACATATTTGGAATTAGACTAGAAATGAAAGGAATAGGTATGAGTGAGAATTATACTATTTTAATTTGATTTTTTAAATCAAGACAAGATTATTTTTCGACAATAATGGTTTTTAAATAAAACTTGACTAACGGCTTTCAGGGTCGAGAAGCCCCAAATGGCTACTCGATTTTTCCAGCCAGTGGAAGCCTATTTCAAACGAATAGCTGAACTTTGTAAATCGTGAGTAAGCAGCAGGAAATAGGCTTCTACTCATCGAAAAAACTTCGCACTCAAGAATTTCGAAAAACCGATTAGAGATTCAGATTCCTCGACTTCAGAACACGTTTAGTCAAGTTTTATTTAAAAACTGTTATTTTCGAAAAATAATCTTGTCTTGATTGAAAAAATCGAATTAAAAGAGTATAACTCTCACTGATAATCATCACTTTAATTTCTAATTTAATTCCAAATATGTATCAACACTACAACACCAAAACAAAAATGCTGTGGATTTCAAATGTCCATTTTTCCTCTTGCGTTTTTTTGCATTTCTTTTCCAACACATATTATTGATAGCATAAAAAAGAATACGATTCTTGTGATGAATTTTGATTGAAAACCAAATCTATTTTCTTTTGTTTTAGTATTGATCCAAATATTTTAACAAAACGTTATGATGAATTAAAAATAAGACTCCGTGAAGAACTTAAAGAAGAACTTGGTGCAATTAGTAACTCAAATGAAAGACCAAGTACAGCGGATATTGGTACACGTTCTATTGATAGAACCGATTATTTTGAATTAGTTTATGAATGTATTCATACTCGAAGAAATTTTTTAAATGTAATCAGTCTTAGTTCACGTCAATCAGTTGAACCTGATATTGATTTAGTTATTTTACAAGCTCTATTAAATGGTTAGGAAAAAGAACATATATATATATATATTAAATTAATTTATTATTTATTTTAACAAAAAAAAATTTGTTTATTTAGCTACTTCTGGTATTGGAGGATGTAAAACAAATATGCAACGAAAACGTGAACAACTTCATTTAGCATTAGAATGGAATCGTGTGGATATAGCTCGAAATTATATTATGAGAAATGAAGCAGATTGGGTAAAGAAAAAAAAATACGAAATAAATTTCTTTTGAAAAATTCTTTTCTATTTTATGTTTGCTTGTTTTTTCTATTATTATTTATATTAGAATATTGATTTAAATGATTTATTTTTATTGGCACTTGTCCGCAATCAAACAGCATTTGTCGAATTATTTCTTGAACATGATTTTTCATTAACTGATTTATTTCGTGATGTTGATAAACTTCTTACACTTTATAATTATGAAAAAAAAGAAGTAAATTAATTTTAATTACACATCTTTTTTTTTAAAACTTTTATTTTATAGACTGGTGGTTTAATACAATCTTCTCACGATGCATTACGAACATTATATAAAGAAAGAATTCAACCATTAATAGGAGATTTTTTTGAAGTTGATACTGCACTTGCTCAAAAAGATTTAACATTAAATCCTGAATCTAAAAATGAAATTGACGATGAAATAAGTGGTTGTTGTGGTCGAAGACGGTATCATAGTCCTCCAGGAATTAATCATCGTGGTAGTGTACATTCAGAAGGTATGTTTTATACGTATTTGTTAAAAGAGTATATCTTCGAAATTTTTATCAAAGATAATTTTTTATTTTCTCAGTTAATTAAAATGTTCAAAATGATAAAATTGTGTAGGCAAAATATTCATTGTGCATGTTGAAGTGATAGTTTTTTTTTATGCATGAATTTGATTGCATTCGAATATTTCAATTTGTCTGAGATACGAATGAATTGATAAATATCCGCTTGAAATAAATAATATGAATAATCTTATTTCGTATAATTTATTGAAGAAAAACTAAATAGGAGGTCAAAGTGTCGGTCTGATCCAAAATTCTTCTCATTAATCTTTATAAAAAGTCGTATGTCTGTAAAATACTTGGTACACTCCATAGTGCTTAGTGGTATGTATTTTCATCATACAGCTCTAGGATTCTGTTCAGCAAGATGGTGTCGAAAAATGATCGACATTTATGAAAAAAACAATGATTAGTTAAAAGTGGATCAGAGGTTCTATTGAGCATTCAGCACTGTCGTCTTATTGAACACTACGTTTTATTGAAAATGCATGCTGCTAAGGACGACGGAGTGTACCAACTTTTTATAGGGTTTCTTAGTTTTTCGGGAAATTAATGGGAAGAGTTTGAGCTTGGATCACAAGCCCTGTATCGCTTTCGGCCTAATGAGGAAATATCTCCAAGTATCAAACCGTTTTTCGATTGAGACGATATTCATTTGATGAGTACTAGTTCCGAGCCTTTGTTTTTGAGATATCGAAATTTTACTGGATTTTCAAGAAAAAAATCTGTGGTTCCCCTCAGGTCACATGATAGTTTCGACTTCAAATGTTCCACAAATAAAGTTCTTAATAAGATTACTTGATTGTGTAAGTTTTAACTTTTCTATTATTTCCTTTCTAGAGATGTAAATACATGAACCAAATTCCTTTTGATACATAAGAGAATTTCGAATATTCAATATTTCAGGATAGAAGATACTAGAAAAGTTATCATTTGACCAATAAACTAATCTCATTGAAAATTTTGTTCGTGAAAAGTTTGAAGCCGAAACTGTCACAGTTTTTTAATTGAAAAACTCAGTAAAATTTCGATATCTCAAGAACAAAGGCTTGAAACTAGTACTCGTCAAATGAGTATCGTCTCGGTCAAGAAGTGATTTGACAGTTGTAGAGATTCCTTTCATGAGTCAAAAGATTATCGAAACTTTGCATCGAGCCATAATTCATATAACCAAACAAAAATGATTTTTAAATATGATTTGAATACCACATTGTATCCGAAATCTCAGTATATATATATATATTATTTATGTATTTTAATTAATGTTCTATTTAAAGGATCAACAGCTGGTTCTGGTACTATTATGGATGCTGATAGAGAACTTTTTTTGTGGTCAGTAATAGCAGGTCGACGAGATTTAGCAGTACTATTTTGGTCTCGTGGCAAGAATAAAATATGTAAATGGAAATTTTTCTTCTTAATTATCATAGATAGAAAAAATATATAAATATGTCTTAGGTGCTGCATTAATTGCCACATTAATATATAAACTCCATGCTCGTGACGAGAATGATACTAGTTACAAACAATCAATTGAAGAATTTGAGGGTTTCGCTGTACAAATGCTTGACAAACTTTATCAAGCAAATTCTAAAGCATGTTTAAAAGCAATTATACGACAAATTCCAGCTTATGGTAATGCAACATGGTTAGAATTAGCTGTTGCAGCTGATGCTAAACAATTTATTGCTCAACGAGCTGTACAAGATCTATTCAATGATATTTGGTTTGTTAGAAATAAATATTCGTGAAAAAAAAATATAATAATAAAAGGTTAATCTTTCATATAGGTATGGATATATTAATGAACGAGCATCTCATATAACAATCATTTTTTCTACATTTATGATTTTGTGTAGTGGTTTTCTTCCTTACAATAAACAATTAGTTACAGCAGATGATAAAAAAGCAATTGATGTATGTATGATAATTAACTTTCAGGTGTTTACAATAAATGATCTCTTTTTTTTTAAATTTCTAGGATACAATTAATAAACCACATTTCTTTGACAGACAAACATCAAAACAAAAACGGATTGCAGATAGGTATTGAATATAAGATTCTATTCGTTAAAGTTCTTTTTTTTGTTCTTCGAAACATTTGAAAATGAAAAAGATTATTTATTAATTATTATTTTATTTGTTGGAGACTTGTATTTATGATACATATATCATCATATATAATCAAATTGATGATTTTTCGAAAATGATAGAAGAAATTCTTCTTATTTTTCTTTCTGTATTCATTATTTTCGTCAATTTTTAATTACAATACTTCTCACCTTTCAACATTATAAAATAATCCATTCTAGACGTTTTGACAGTTTCATTTATAAAAACTAATATTCACTTCGAAATATAATGTACTCTTCTATTTTTTGAATAACTTTTGATAGGAACATCATAGAGGTCTGCGATTTTCATTATTCAAGAGAAGAGATCTGGTACTACTATTGAAGTATATCGAAATTTGGTTGATCAGCAATCGATCAATCAAATTTCAATATACTTCGATGGCTCCGAGAGTCTTCTGTCGTGAATAGTGAAAATTACAGATCTCTATGGTGTTTCTATCAAAAGTTATGCAAAAAGCAACTGATAAACTGTTTTTTCTTCATTCAAGTGTCTCTCGATTTATAATAAACAATTGTAGGACTCATTATACTATATGATTTCTGAAATATTTCATTTATCATATAACTAATAACCTTCATTTCCATCTTTACTTGAGTTCATTATATTCAATTACTTTTTTTTTTGTATTGTCACTTTTCTAGGCCTACAGATGCAATTCAAATGAGGTTGTTGTTACCAAAGATAAAGGATGTAGATGATACTTCTGACAGGTTTGTCAAGTTTGACTGATGATTTGTAGATAAAAAAATATAATACTAACAGCTACTTATATTCGCAATGATTGCTTGTTTTTTTTAATTAACACTAGTTTATACGCTAGAAGTAGATAGAAAAAATAATAATGATTCGTTTTATTTTATTCTTCTAGGACACGAAGTGCAATTTCTCAATATTTTTGCAATATAACTACATTTATACGTGCTCCATATGTTAAATATCTTTATAACTTAGTAAGTATTCAACTAGATAAAAATTGTTTCTATTTTTTTTTCTTGTTTCAAGAGAATATTTCACTTTGAAAATTAATTTACTTATAATTTCATTTAATATTATTATTTATTTTGTTTTGTTTTGTTTTTCTTCTATTTTTAGTATGCTCATATGATTTTTTTATTACTTTTCTCCTATGTAATATTGTGTGACTTTTTTCCACTTTATAATTTTCCAGTGGATACATGTGCACCATTTAGTAATTCAGAAAATCGTGAAGACTCTATTAGTGGCAAAGATGATAATGAACCAATTACAACTAATTTGTGGACTGGAAACGCGCATAATACTAGTAAATCAGTTTCATATGGATTTCAACGGCGTAAACGACCGGCTGCTACTGAAATCATACTTGTCATATGGGTATTTACATTAGTTTGCGAAGAAATTCGACAGGTAATTTATTTGAATATATCTATAAATATATATATATATATAATCTATTATCTATATAGTTATTTACAATAGAAGCACAATCAACACGAAATGCTGTTATAGCTTATTTTAAAACTTTTTGGAATAAATTAGATGTTTTGGCTTTAGTTTTATTTTTCGTCGGTTTTGCACTTCGATATATTCCAACATCACAATGTTTTTGTGCAGCACGTATTGTTTTATCAGTTGATTTATCAATTTGGTTTATACGTTCATTGGATCTGTTTGCTGCTGTAAAACGACTTGGACCTAAACTTGTTATGATTGGTGAAATGGTAAATAATCTAATTGATTTTGTAAAACATGATCTGAAAGGAGTGTCATAATATATAGGATAGAAATTTGCACTCTTCCTTCTGGATCCTCATAGACTGTGACTGTCACTAGCTAGAGTTCATCACAGGTCGTAATTAGAACCCATCGAGTTCGGATCCAGAAAGTTTTGGACCCGATGAGCTCTAGTCATCACAGACGCTGAAGAGAGAATGTGACAAATATTGTTGATGTATGATCATAGATCGTATATCAATAATGGCTTGTTACAATTTATTAGCTACTTCCTTATTGTATTTCTAGAGAATTAAGTAAAAGGAGGATGAAGAAATGTGTCTCAAGATAGACAGAAAAAAATAATCTTCCTATGATTAGCAACAATATCTACATCATGTTTTACAAGTTAATCTCGTAGGAATTTCCCTAATAGCTTTTGTTTTTGCATCTTCTACTTGATGTGCTTTTGTTATATTTTTTCAAGGTACATGATTTGAAATTTTTCATGTTAATGTTCTTTGTATTTATCTTGGCGTTTGGCGTACCATTTTATGGTTTAGTATATGGTGTACAAGAATTTTCTCGACATTTACCACGTAAAATTATAAATCTTGCTTATTGGCAAATATTTGGTGAATTACAAGCCTTAGATACATTTGAAAGTATGAGAATATAACGAAAAAAAGACTTTTAATTGAATAATATTATGATTATTTTTTTTTTTGTTGTTCATCTTTATTAAGAAAATTATGAACCAAATGGTTATGCAGCGTTTATTTTATTGGTTGCTTATATGACAATTGTTAGTATACTCTTGGTTAATCTACTTATTGCTATGTTCAGGTATTGAAAAGCAAATGAGAAAAATAAATATTGATTGTAAAAATTTCAAACAATTCGATGATTATGAATTATGTTGAACGAAAATGAGTTCCATATGATTTTATTAGAATTTGTTTTTTAATTTTTGGACTGATTTCTAGTAATATAAGACGTTCTTTTTTTTCCACTATCTTCAAAAAAAACAATCATCGATAGTCTATATGTACCAAAATCATTTCTACCAATCTAAATAATGTTTAACTTAAATTGTACGTTTTATTTTAATCTAGTAATACTTTCGATCGTCTTCAACATGATACAGATCGTATCTGGAAATTTCAACGATATTCATTAATATGTGAATATCTATCACGTCCATCATTACCACCACCTTTCATTTTCTTCTCTCATGTTTGGCGATTAACATTATCTATTTTGGCACGGTGTTGTAAATCATCTTCTATTCAAACTAAATATCAAGAACATTTGGATCGAATAAGATATAGTAAAGATATAATTATTGTTTTTTTTAAATAAATTATTTGATGTTTTTATCTTGTTTTTTTTAGAAATTTCACTTGATGACAAAAGTGCAGCAAATATTGAAATAGCTGAAGATGCACTTGGTGATGAAGTTTATTATAATTTTTTAAAAATTGGAAGAAAAGCATTTGATGACACTGATCTAGATGAAGAACGAGTGTAAGTAATAAGCTTAAATCAAGTATTACTAGTATTATACAGAATTGGCCAAAAAAAAATATGAGGCCAACGTATTTTTGATTTTTTTTCCATGATGTCAAGCATTAAATCTAAATAGTAATTTGAATAATCAATAAAATTCTCTATCAAATGCATAAAAGAACTATGATAGACAACTTTCTGAAAAATTACATACGGTAATTCTCAGAAGACTATGTAGAAATTAGTTCTGAAGAGTATCATCTTAAAGAGCATAAGATCCTGAATAAAATGCGATGTTGCTGCATTTTCTGCGACTCTCTTTTAAAAAGTTATAAGCATCACAAAAAAACAAAACAATGTGTTTTTTTTAGCAATGCTATAATAAATTTCGCTTTGTGATGCTTATAAATTTTTAAGAGAAAGTCACAGGAAATGCGGCAACTTCTCGTTTTATTCAGAATTAGATGAGAAACTCTTCCAAAGTAATGTTCACACAGTCTACTGAGAACTAATGTGTGCGGTTTTTCAAAAACCTTCCTCTTGTAGTCCTTGTATAATATTTCAGTATGCAATGCATTTGATAGAAAACTTCATTGACTATTCAAATCATTATTTAGATTTGAGTTAAATGCTTGGTATCGTAAGAAAAAAAAAAACTCAAAAATACTTTGATCTTATATACATTTGACCAGTACTATATATGTTTAGTCAATCACCACAAGACAATATATTAAATAAAATTCGCGCACTTGAAAATCGTATACAACTAATGAATACTCAAGTAAGAATCTATATGTTTTTTGCATTTATTTCATATGAAAAAAATTTTTATCTAGCAAGTTCATATGTGTGAATATCTTGAACATTTGATGGATGGTTTAAAAGCTATGGGTGGTGATCGTATCAAAGTACCTCAACGACGTCGTTTAGATCCTGAAGAATCATGTATGTTTATAGTTATATAATTTCTATTTTACACTAGTCATGTTTCTATAAACAAATGAAATAAGAAAAGAAAAACAAAAGAAAGAAAAGAAAAAATTTTCTTTTATATTAAAATAGTTGATGATACAAACAATAATATTGATCAATCAAAACAAAATTATCGACGAGAATCATTAATAGATGATGATCGTCCTCGTTCAAATTCTAATCCTGATGAACAACAATCACAAATGATTAATCTTTTTTCTTCTCGCAGACACGTAATTAAATGCTATTAAAAAAATAAACTATGTGATTATATCACGTTCTAACTTATATAATCAAAGCTTTGAATCATTAAATGCGATTTATAGTTTCATTAAAGATTGTTTACTACTTAATTTATAATTTGAAAGAGTATTTTTAAAAAAAGATTACTTGATTTTTCTTTTCTCTTTTTTCTTTTAAGTGATGACCTCACAGGTAGACGATGAACTTTTGTTCAATGCATATTGTCATCCCGGCTTTCATTCGATATAATCAAATGCATGTATTACTAACTATTTACTATTGATCTTTACTTATTAACTGATTGATATATTAACATTTCAAATAATCTTCTTATCATTATTATATAAAACAATGAATTAGATTTTGATGAATAATTTCAAAAAAACAAAATTTCAAAAATATTGATTAGTTTTTTCTTTATATATATAGGAGTCAGGCTTTACGATTATACCAATGGGCAGCGATGTTTAAATTTGTATTCGATGGACAGTTTCTTATCAATACATGGAACTGAATCTTTTTTGTATACATATTTGAAAAATCAATTATTATATTTGTTTATTTTTTTTTCTTCTATGAACTATTAATGTATATGAGATCTAATCGTATTTCTTGTCCACTGCTTTATGTATTGTAAATTTTTTTTGTCCATGCTTCACTGAATTTCCTATGTGTCAAAATTTTTTGAATTTTCTGCTAAAATCTAGAATAACCTCGCTTATATTTATGAACTATCTTCTTTTTTTTTGTTTTTTCAGATGTCAGAAAATAGTCAAACATCTGCACAATCAACAAATGCAAATAATAATAGCAATCCAACATCAGATACTGTTTCATCATCTGTTCCATTTACACTCAAACGTTGGAATCTTGTTGGTAAGTAATAAAATTTTTGTTTGTTTTTTTTTTGTTAAAAAATAACAAGAATTATCATTAGGTATTTGGAGTTGGGATGTAGCTCATGATGTATGTGCTATATGTCGAACAGCTTTATCTGAATCTTGTCTACGTTGTCAAGCAGCAAGTAATCTTCAAGAATGTATTATTGTTTGGGGTACATGTAATCATTCATTTCATAATTGTTGTATGAGTCAATGGGTTAAACAACGAGCACAATGTCCACTTTGTCAAACAGATTGGGTTATTAATCGAATTGGACAATAATTATGTTTAAAAAAAAAATTTATACATATTTTTTTTTCTTTCTTCTGCGTTTATATATTTTAAAAAAAAAGGAGAATAAAAGAATGAATCATTATTAAAAATATGTATCAAGAATATCAATAACTGTATAATTATTACTAATAAGTAAAATTTTTCTCCATTTATCAATTGTTAAACATGGATGTGATATATCAAATACAATTATATCACCAACAATAAGATTATGATCAGATGGACAAGTCATAAATGCATGTTGATCCATCATTTTTGTTATCTGATATTTATCATGTTTGATTTCAATAGGTTTAGACCATCCGGATCGATAATGAAGAACAGGTATAGGATAATACTTATCGAATGCTGCATCACGATTACCAAAACCAATAATTGCTTGATTTGTTTCAGGTATTGATTGAACATAAGCCCAAATTTGAAGTGCAGGTCGAAGTGCATCATTCTTACTAATATCTCGAACTATTGAACTCCGTTCAAGTATACATGTTTGTGCACGATGATAAATACCTCTATCAAGTGTTAAATAGCATCCAGATCGTAGAATAATATCAATTGTAGGATCAACTTTAGAAAATTCTTCCGCAACAATATCATACCAAACTGAACCACCACCTGTTAATATGGGTGGTGAACGAGCTAATTGATTTGAATTTATTAAACGTTGTAAACAAGCAACTGCATGTTGTAACATAAGTCGAATAGATTTTTCTTCATTTAATATACCTTCAAATAATTCAACACCAACAAGGGCTAAAGAATTTTGATATTGTGCAAGACTATTTAAAATAATTCTTTCATCTTCATCAGTTCGTATTCCTGTTCGACCATTATGAACACCAATTTCTAGAAGAACTTGTAATCGTTTTTGTTTTTCATTAGTAAAAAAATTTCCAAGTTGTTCAATATTTGTTGATGAATCAATTAAACAATAAAAATCAAAATTAGGATCATTATCAAGTAATTGTTTAATTATAGTCATATTTGTTTTACCAATTAATTGATTTGCCATTATTATACGTCGTATACCAGCTGAATAAGCTAATTGAACTTGTTGTACAGTAGCTAATGTTATTGCCCAAGCACCATAATGAAGTTGTCGATGAAAAAGTTTTGGACACATTGTTGTTTTACCATGTGGTGCTAATTTAACATTATGTTTTTCGATAAAATTTTGCATCCAACGAAGATTATGTTCAACATTTTCAAATGAAAGACTTGCCGCTGGTAAACTAATATCTTCTCGTAATAAATTCCATTCATGATAATTATCACCTATACCTAATCCTTTATTGTAAGGTACGAATGATTGTGCTTGCATTGATGAATGTAAATATTAAATTTTAAAGAGGATACAAATGTTTTGTTTTGTTTTCTTTTTTGTTTTATTTAAGGCTGAGGTCAATGTTATCTATTTGTAGATAGGGTGAACAATGCAAATAATAATTATTGAATTTTTCTTTTGTTATCTTATCAAATATCAAAACAGATTTTTTTAATTTTAAGTATCTATGTGTATGTTTGAAAACTTTTGGACATTCTTTAATATAATCATAAATATAAATATGATATATATTTGAGCATTTTTCGTATTTGCTAAATATTGTTACAAAATTTTTTAAACCCTTTGTTGTGCCGCCTCTAGTGTCATCATTTACCCTCGATAAAGCATATATTTTTTTTTGTCTTTTTCGTTTTTCGTTCTTCATTTTTTTGTTACCTATACACAGGATAAAGGTAAGGTTGATAGTGATAAGAACACGCTTTCGTTACCATACAAAACATTACCAATCAACAAAAAGAAAGTAAAATGCTAAAATTACATCGTTGTCTTTTTTCTCTACGTTCTATTCATCAATTTTATCGATCAAAATCAACAAATGCCTATTCATCGGAATGGATTTTGCCATCATTACAACAAGATCTGGAAAAATTTTCGTCATTAAATCCACTACCAATTTCAATCTGTTTAATTGGTGATCCTCATTTACGTCGTAGTAATGAATTAGTTCTCAATCTTAAAGATGATTTTGTTCAAGCTGCAAAACTTCGACTTCATCTTGCTCTAGCTAATTTTCGTCGTAAAAATGGTTTTGGTCGTGGTATTAGTGCCTGTCAAATAGGTATTAATCTAAGTATGATTGCACTTAATCTTGGTTATGGACCATTAACACTAATTAATCCAAAAATAATCTGGTCTTCATCAGATACAATAACAATGTGGGATGATTGCATGAGTATTCCACGTATTCTTGTTAAAAAACAACGTGCAAAATCAATATCAATTGAATATACAGATGATAATGGTAATGAACAAAAATGGAATGAACTTGATGTATCAGTCAGTGAATTATTACAACATGAAATGGATCATCTTAATGGTATACTTAATATTGATAAACCATTTAAAGATGATAATGCCAATGGAAAAGAAAGTATCATTAGTATGGATCAATATGAAAAAGATAAAAATTATTTTGATCAACAAGTTGATTATACAATCGTGCCAACTGTTTGATATTAATAGTTTATTTAGAAAAGAAAACGACAAGGAGAAAATATTTGATGTGGTTTTTTTTCATGGTCTAATTTTAACTAATCTACAGAATACTCATTTTAGATGGTAATAAACGATGACATATAGTTTTTTTCTGCTAGTTTAAATTTAACTGATAGTTATCATTCAAATAAAAATGCATACTGTACAAAAAAATTTTTAACTTTAAAACATTTTTTAAATTGTGTATTACATGAATATCTATAAGACAGCTATGATTCAATGGTTGACTTTAGTTTAAAGAAGAAATTGTTCAATAAATATTACTGCTTATTGTCTATTATTTGAATCATCTCAACGAAGATAAAATCGAATTGGACTCTTAACTACCGGTGCCGGTTCTATCTCTACATCTCAAGTCCTTCGATAATAATATAAAAATCACAAGTGAACTTGTTTGGGCATATTCAGAACACTGAAATATATATAAATGAGAAAAGATTTAAATTATAGTATACTGTTATTAGATTATTTAAAGAAAATGGCGCACTTATCCAATACTGCTTATGAATATTTGCAGATTTGTTATATTTCGGCATTATACTTCACGCCCTCTATTTCTTGTACATTCCCATTCTGTATTTGACGCACCAGTAGTAGAATAAAGAAGAGTAAAATTTTTTGTAATGTTTGCTTTGTTTCTTTATGTTTTTTTAATTTTGAACATATTATTCTTGAAATATACATTTCTCTAGATTAAAATAAATTGATAATAATCATTCATGCCAGAAGTGGTACGAAAAGAATTGTTTATTTATTTAAAAAAAAAATATTCTCTTATTTATTTTCTCTAGACTGCAAAATGCTTATGTCGTCAAGACAATGGTATACAAAAAATTCTTTTTCTTCTAATAAATAAAATAAAAAATATTTACAATTTTTTTTACTTTTTCTTTTTAGCTCATGAAGATGGTATTTGGGCAGGTGCTTGGACAAAAAGTTTAAAAGATGGTTCTGAACATATAATTAGTGGTTCAATTGATGATAAAGTTAAAATTTGGTCATGGTATAAAGAAAAACTTGAATTAAAATATACATGTACAGGTCATCGTCTTGGTATTGTTTCAGTTGATGTTAATCCTCAAGGAACAGGTTAGTCAAATAAAAAAAAATCACTCTCTTTTGTATTTCTACTGGATTTCTTTTTCTATACAAATTCATATAGTCGTAGCAACATGTGCACTTGATGCACAAATTAAATTATGGGATATTGAAAGTGGTAAACTTATTCGCGATATTGATGCAACTCCAGGTAAAACATAAAATTAGTTAATAAATTTTGTTTTTACTATTGATATTATTTTAGTAAATGCTTGGAGTTTAGCATTTTCACCTGATGGACAATATATTGCTACGGGAAGTTTTGGTGGTAAAGTTGATTTATATAATTCTGAAAGTGGTCAAAAAGAAATGACATTAGATACACAGACAAAATTTGTATTAAGTGCTATTTATGTAAAGAACATTGTTTTGTCTTTTTTTTTTTACAAAAACAATCATTAAATACAATTTTATTATTTTCATTTTTAGAGTCCTGATGGAAAATTACTTGCATGTGGTTCACAAAATGGTTTCGTAAATATTTTTGATGTAGCAACTGGGAAATTATTACATACAGTTGAAGGTATACATTTATTATTTAAATTTTTATCTACAATTATAATTTCAAAAAACTAGGTCATGCTATGCCTATTCGTGCATTATGTTTTTCACCGGATTCTCAAGTATTAGCTTCGGCATCTGATGATTGTCATATTCGACTTCATGATATGTAAATTTATTTGTTTTTTTTAAAGCCTTTTTTAATAACTCATTTATTTTTATTAGACACACTGCTCAACCAACAACTGTAAGTACATTATCTGGTCATAGTTCATGGGTGCTTAGTGTAGCATTCAGTTCAGATAATCAACATTTAATATCATCGTATGTATTGATTTTTTTAAATGATGAAAAATATCGAATTAGATGATTTTTATTTATAGTTCATCGGATAAATCAGTTAAAATTTGGGATACAAAAGCAAAACGGTGTGTTTATACATCTGCTGAACATTCCGATCAAGTATGGTGTGTTAGATTTAATTATTCGGGTACACAATTTGTATCAATGTCACAAGACAAAAGTATTATAGTACATTCATTCAATCATTAATTGAAAATTTTTTTGAACATTGTTTGTTTGTTTTTTTTTTGTATAAGTTTATCCTAGGGGAATGATCTTCTATTAATAAAGAACGGAGAAGAGAGAAGATCTTTTGCAAAATAATCGTCTTTGATTTATGAAAGAATATTTAGAAAGATTAAAAGGCTTTAGACTGAGATAATGTTTATTTGTATGACTGTAGCGAGCAACAAAAAAATCTGAGATGCTTTTCAATTGTCAAGCTATCGATCAGAAGATACCAACGTTTTAGTCTCATCATTATTGTTATTATCAAAATAAAGTAATACTAATATTATTTGTTTTTTTTGTCTTTGATTTTTCAAATTTTCTTCTGTAAATTAAGCTTCAATGTATTGCAAGTAATAGCTCATATTGTTGCAATCATATTATTTATTCTTCAATATTTCTCAATTTTACTTATTACTCGATAATGTTTCCTACTATATTCTTTTATCGAAGTTTATATATGTGACATAATAGAATATGCTACTTCTTTCTCTATATTTTACTTTCATTTAGTATTTTGAATATATCTAGAAGTTCTAACAAGAATGTACAAACTGGTTGAAATAACGTAAGTAAAGTTAGCATCAAATTCGATCATTTCTTGTGCGAACTCGTTTCCTGACTTTGATTGAATTTCTAATTAGTTGTATTAAGTGCAGAATTTTATTCTCTATCAAATGGAACCATTTTCAATGGATGTCGTCGATCAAAAAATAGGATTTAGGCTCGAAATACTAACTTTTCAACCCGATTTTGGCTCTAAACGTTGTCTGAATTCGCTCTATGTTTTATGTTAACTCGCTAATTGATCACATCATGTGCAGAATTGCGTTCTCTTCCGAATACTGCCATTTTCAATGTAGATCGTAGAGCAAAACATTGAATTTTGAGGATGGATGTGGATGAAGAATAGATCATGTCTATGCTTCACTCACACCCTGCTGTGCTAAAGATAAATTCTGCATCTGTTTCTGAATAAAAACCTAACCATTGAAGCCGACTCAATCCATAAACGATTTACTTTTCGTCTTCAACCCAGTTTCTTCACGAGAGCGAAAATTTTTTCTAGTGTTCTATTAGAAAATAAATATTCTATTTTTCTCAAGACGTTACATCCTTCTTCTAATTTTGATTGCATCAAGCCAGAACTGTTAATCATATATGACATCTATTAGCTTTTTAGTTCGACTACTATCGTAAATTATTTGTTACTTGTTGAGAAATTATTTCGTTTTCAATTTTATAAATCAGATCCCTCTTTACAAAAGTTTATCCAATGTATTTTTCATCATAACAAGTCAAACTCTTTACCGTTGATCGTCGAATATACAAAGTTCAACTTTTTTCCTCTTCAATTCAAACTGGATGAATAGTATAGTTAATCGTTAAAACTAGTGGTAATTTATGAAATAACATCCTCTTCTTAGTTCTATACAAACCGCACAAATGATGAATCGATTCTTAAATTACTCGGATCAGTATTAAATTTGGTGAATTTTGTATAATTCTTTAATCTCGTGCTCTTTTATTTATGTAAATTTAATACTCAGAGGCCTATTAATATATCTCTTTTATACTTACCATCATTTTACATAATTCTTCGTCAATATTTATTCCTAAATTCTATGAATATTTGAAGAAATGATGATGATAAATAAAAATGATTAACAACTGATAATAAAGGTGAAATGTATGAGAAAATGTATAACGAACAAAGATATGTATAAAGACTGATTTATCTTTATGTCACAGCCCTATGTTATTTTTATATACCGAGATCAATCATTTACCATCGTATACGGATCAATTACGACGGAAAACAACAACCATTTATAATTGCCGAACAAATATCGTTCAATTTTGTATCTGTCCCTCCCCTCCCTACAAAAGAAGATTACTGATGGGTGTGTGACAGGTTACAGCTTAATGTTTCGGAAGATTGAATCGAAGCACTGATGACCAGCACTTCTCTCTATGAGTGGTGTCTAGTGGCTAGTTCTTTTCATATGAGTGAAATATGACTACGAACAATTTTATTCTATACAAACAGAACATTCGATGATCGGATCCCACTCAGTTTGAAAGAGCGCGTCATCCGATCCTGTTTCTTTCAAAACAGCAGAATGATTCTGATTAGTTAAGTTACTTGACACGGAGCTGTCATACACCTAATCCTGTGTCTTTTATTATGTCCAAGCGTGTAAAGTTTTTAGAAGGGTCTTATATTGTGTCCGATATATTTTTATAATTTTCAAATAAAAAAGTTTTTCAGAAAACCAAAGATATTTGAAGGATTTTATATGGTTCATCTATGTTATCATTAGTCGGCATGATCGTTACATCATTATTTTTGTTTTATGCAAACTTCATCGTTGACCAATGGACTATAGAACTATTAGAGTTAACACTAGTTATTATGGATTTTACCAGTATCATTGGTCATATTTTTTATTACCTAACTTCGATGAACATTTGAAAAATTAATATTTAAAAATTAAAAGATGGATTATCAAAGTATAACAATGATAATAATAATCATATTTACAATAATATACTTGCCAACAAAACTAAGCATGAAGGCTAATAGTAATTTTGTGATATTCAAATATTTTTTTTTGTATCTTGTCAAATTTCTAACTTATTCTTTTCTTTTACATTTGATCTTTTCCATTAATCGATACTGAACTTATTGTTGAAAGTATAAAGTTCATCTATATCATAATTTTTCTGTATCCCATTTTTTTGTCTTTATAGATTCATGTCTACGCAATTGTCTACTGGTTCATATATAATCCTAGGTATGATTCATACGTTCATAGGATTAATAGCTAGTTTTTCTCTGGAAGTATTTCATGGACGTTTGGAACAACTCGGCCAGGCTATGTTACATTTAGCTTCATTTAAACAGAATCGATCGACAATATTAGAACACATTAAATCAAATTGTCCTCAATTGATCATCGAATATCCGAAATTTTATATGTACCCACAGATTGACCTGTGTAGCGGTTATGATTTATCACTGAAATTAGTGAGCTTAACGATAGTTTCATAAACATTACATAATATCTATTTACTTTGTATATTATACGGTTCAGCTGTATTATCAGCTATTATAATGGGAATATTATCGAGTTTCTTATTCAATACTAACTTCCCAAATGATGAACAAACTCTTCATTTCTTAGACCAGTGGCGGGCCGCCACGAGGTAATTGGTGACAATTGCCCCACCCAAAAAAATTTTAAATCCAATATTTACTCGTTTATTTATTGACTTCTGTAAGCGAATCAAAATATACACAATTAGTAAAAGTATCTGTACATCAGCGACACCCGATAGCGAATCATTAATATTCGTTCAGATAAAACACAATTTTATTCTATTAATTATGATGATTTGAAAGCAGAACAACGACTTAACAAGAATCAGATGAACGATAAGAAAATGAAATTGTCAGAAGTAACTGAACTCTTTTTGGAAAATAACTTTCACATAGCATTATCGTCCATGAATGAATTATTGAAGATTCTTTAGACTATACCGGTTAATTCATGCCAATGTGAACGTAGTTTTGCATGTTTAAAAAGATTAAAAACTTATTTAAGAAACAGTATGGGAGAAGCAAGGTTATCAGGCATTGCTCTTTTAAATATTGAAAGAAATTTTGAAATTAATTTGGATCAAATAGTAACAGATTTTATCGTAAAAAAAGATATAAGGAAAACAATTTTTTAACATAAAGTTCTTTTTTAACTAATATATTTTTGTTTATTCATTTGACTTCAACAGAAAAAATAAATATAGAGATTACATTTAAAAGGCTAGTTTTATTTGCAGCTTGAATGAATGCAGCCATCATAGAGTATTTTCATACAGCTGAAAATAGATTTTTTATTATGCCAAGGAATTAAAGTTTATTGCCCCACCTATATTTGGGATGCTGGCCCGCCAATGTCTTAGACGTAATCTTAGTGATAATATTCATGATGAAAAAATTAACATCAAGACTAATAAAGCTCTTGTATGTCATCTAGTGCTCGTGTTATATTATTGTACCATAATGAGTTGATAGGTATGATAGGATTTTTGCGTTTCAATTTCATGTAATATTTTATTTGTATATATAGTAAAATAATAAATATTGCTGTTAATCAAATATAGTTGTTATTCATAAAATACTAATACTATTTGCACATGTTTATTGTTTGCTTAAAAATAAGTATGATAAAATTTATTTAACATTTTTCCTAAAAGAATATGATATGATCATATTAGCATCTGTTGACCAATATGATTATATTTTCAAAATAAACTATGATGTAAACATTTTGAAATATCCGCCTTAAGTCTTTTTTTTTGTACCATTTATAGTATTTAATCTATTTTTTCCTCGCTATTGTTATCATTAAGTTTATTTCTTCTTAACGTTATTATTTTGGATCTTTTTAACAGATATTTTAAAGCGTTGAATTTGTAAAACGAAAATTGTGGTCAATTTCAATCATTATCATTATCTGATTGATGGGATTTTTCGTTATATTTCTTTCATGAGATACTCATGTAATCGCATGAGGACGCCATTATCAATGAACATGTCGATATGATCACTTAGTAACGAACATAAAAGAACAAATAATTTATGAAATAATTGTTAACATAAGAAAAAGAAAATGAATATTTAAAGGTTTGTGTTTATATCACAATTAATTTACAGCTTCAGTCGATTTTTAATGGATCTTAACAACCAATGAAATTTAATTGATGAGTCATATTATCTATTTCTTGTAAAGAAACAGATTATACCCTATTTAGTTGTTTATACATTAATAGTTAGAAAAATATGCCCAAAATAACTGAACTTCGTGGTCTATTTAAACCGTTTACAAAACCATTACATCGACAATGGAAATGTAAATAGAATCAAATCTATTTATTTTATAAATTTCAAATATAAATTTCTAGGGGTATGGCAAGAAAAAGGCAAATTTAATGAGCCTAAATTAACATTACCTAAAGCATTAGAAGATCGTCAAATAAATATTATTGATCCATTGCATGAACCAGATCCAAATGCTTTACCTGATGAATCAACGCCTTGGATAAGTCCGACTCGACATCCAATGTTCGAATATCTTGTACCACCATTACCACGTGAACAACATCCTCTGTTTCATCACGATAGATCTGTATTTTTATTTGATTCCAAAACAAGATTACATGCAGGTTAATATTTGAAAATAGAAACAAACATCAAAAATAAATTATATGTTTTTTCATGATCTTATTTTTATTTTTATTATATAGGTGTTGATCAAGCATGTTTATTAACAAAAACAATTCCATTCTATGAATTGCCACAATCAATAAAACAAACACTTGGACAAGTATCATTACCTGATCAAGATGATTTAATTCAATCATATATTCGTCAATCAATTGCATATGATGCAACAAAAGAACATTTACCAAGAAAAAAAAGTCCATTAAAACAACGTCGATCATTTCGTATTGAATATGGTATACCACGTTCAAGACAAATGTCAATAGTACTTGAAAATATGATTTATCTATGTGAATCATTAGGTGGACATTATCCAGATTTATTTAAAAGACATTTATATCGTAATATACCATTTTATACAACATATGAACGTTATGGTGAATTAATACATTTACGAAAACAAAATGAATATGTGTTAACTAGTCATATACCATTATCACCAATTGTTAAACGTTTAGATAAATTAGAAATAACTTCAGGAAATAATACGAATGAACAAATAACAAGTCATGATCCAAATGGACATTATCTTATACAAGCAAATGATTATCAATTTTTAGATATGTATCCAATTTATCCAACTATTGATCTTTCATTAGAACAACTTTATCAAGATGGTGATGAACAAGGATGGAAACAAAGAAAATCAAATGAATGTAAATAATATTTTTATCATTCAATAGTTCGAATACATTTAGAAAAGGAAAAGAAAGAAAACGAAAACTAAGCTAACATTAGTAAAATGATTCATCATTTACGTATCATGTCAAAACCTTCACGGTTATTATTTTGTTTTTGATAAGAAAAACGAAAGATATACGTAATTTTCGTTGTAATATAGAGCTAAGTTTTTATTTTTTTCCTTTATTATCTATTGAGATTGCAATTTAAGCTCGGTGCTCGAAAACTACATATTATTCTTTCAATGAATCTGTACATAGTCAAACAACATGTTTGGATATAATCACTAATATGTTCTCTTCGAATTCTTCTTAGATCTCCCAATTAAAAAATGTGTAATCTCTTGATGCTAAAAAGATAAACATTTAACCGATAAAAATCTTCGACAATATGAATCTTGCAAATGAATTTGTCTTTGTTACAGTTCATAGATCAACAAAACATATATCTGTTCTGATACTTCGATCGATTTTCGTTCTTCAATTTTCCTATTCAGATTATCTTGAGGATATTCTTATATTAAAGCTGATATCTCAAAGAATAGACACACACACACATATATATATATATAGATACAATATTTTCTTATTATTTAGATGTTCATACAATATTTCATGTCTCAAATGATGAATTAATTCATGAAGCGACAGCAGATGAACGTCTTGCACGTATGATTATGTTTACATTTGGTTCTGCTCTAGTTCAAGCACGTCAACTCTATCCAAATGGTATTCTAACTAAACCAGTTACTATTCAATCAATATTTTTTCTTGATGAACTTTTTCATTTTATTGTATTTCAATTAAATACATTAAATTATAATGATACAAATGATAAACAATGTAATTATGTATGGATTGATAAAGATAATTATTTATATGATAATCGTCCATCAATGGTTATGCATAATCCAGTTTATGGTACAGAACGAAATTTACAACGATATGTTTTAGAAAAACTAATATATAATCCAAGTGTTTTTCAAAAATTTTTAGCACTGTACTTACAAGGTGTTAAATAAAAGAACAGAGTGACCTCATAGAAAGATAATTAGCAAATTAGAAAATTAGAAAAAAAAATGAAAAACGAAAACTCTTCTTCTATCTCCTTTTTTTTTAATTGTTCTTATCATTTATCTATCTATCTTTTCAGATTTATTTTGTTATCTTACTCTCTTTTTTCTCATTTTTTGTTTTAATATCTTTATTTATTCTTTAATTTCTGATGAATCAAAAACATCACAAGACCATCTCTACCTAAATATGAATACTGGAGCAAAGTGGGGTATTGGTCTGGGCGCTGGTATACCCGGTGCACTAATTCTAATTGGTTTAATTGGTTTCTTAATTAAATTTATTATGCAACGTTGTCGTAGTAAAGCTTGGGATGAGATAATTTCATTACCGAAACATTTAGATTCATCAGACAATAGTACTAACCGTAGACCCCCAAAACGTTTATCGACTGAACGTGAACCATTATTTCCCACAACAACACCTAATGTTGCGGCAGTATCTGATGGTCATATATCTATACCAATTGATGATAATAATTTATCATCTGGACAACATTCACATGGAAGTGCACCAAAACATGAACATACAATTGTTCAAATTCAACGAGAACGTTTAAATCGTCTTAAAGAAGAAGAAAATCGTTCAAGACCAATGTTATCTTTAAGTACTGGTGAACTTGATATGCAATATGCAATTGATCAAGCACAAAAAGAATTTGAGGAATCGGTATGATTTATATTGACATTTAATCGATTGTGTTGCTTGTTTTTCTTCTACTTCATATTTATCTAGCGAGTGATTTAGCTTTATCAAAAATTTAAATTTAGATAATGATCTAAATCAAAAGAAATCGCATTTTATCTTTAATGCATGGCTCAAGCACTTGCTCATGTTTTTTTTCGCTGCAATCATCACGCATTTTGTAATTCTTCTTTTGTACATTAATGTCAAGTCTTTCAATTGTGTTTTTTTTTGTTTTTTCTTCATTTATTATAGACAGCTATTGCTTCTGGGAAAGCGAAAGATCCTCGATAACAATAACTCAATAATACAGCTCAACTAAACTATGATAACAGCATATTGTTTTCTTAATAATTTTCTATGTTTCTTTCCTTTTGATTTAATATTGATAGTCTTATTCTTTAATGATTCTTTTCGGTTTGCTGTTCTTTTTTGATTTCCTTTTACTGAAAGAGTATTGTTGTAGAAGTGGTTTTGCCACTTCTTTTTTTTTGGCTTATTTTTGCATGTATGCATAAACATGTTTGATGAATTTATTTTTCATTTAATTATATCATTATATTTGATAATCATTACTCATTATCTTTTATTCTTTTGGTTTCTTTTTTGTATTCAAAATTAAATTCAATATATTATATGATTAATCATATCAATAATATCATTATGATAAATGAAAATCATTTGTGGCACCGACTTTTTTGAAATTCAAATACATAAAAGTTTCTATTTATAAAATAAAATAAATGAAAAATAGAGCTTTGAACATGGCCGATGTTCAAATGAATACTGCTTAATGTTTTACATAAATTACTCATCTATTCATTTATTAAGTTTTTTTTTTTTATTAAAAAGAAACTAAGAAGATTTTATATTGATTTATTATTTTTATAGATCATCAATATCATAAATTGTATTTGATCATATCATCGGGAGTAGAGGATAATATGAAGAATGATAGAAGATCAATGATATTAACAATATAGATAAGTTAAGTGATGATTATAAACGAAGAATAATAAAATATTTACTCGAAACTTCTTTCGTCAGTTATAATCTAGAGAGAAAAATAAATTTTTATGTTTTTTTTCGATAGAATGCAAATCTTCAGAAAAAATAATTTGTAAATTCTCAAAGAAAAAAATCAATGAATATATTTGATTGATTATCATTAGAAAATTAGATATATGTAAATGATGAGAATGGGACTAGTAATAGAATTATTATCGATAAATCTATACAATATGTTTTAGTAACATTAATCAAAGATAGTTTTTCTTGCATCTATTATAATCTATAAATATTCTCTTGATCAATAATCAATCATTTTGAGATATTTATATAGTTGTTACATAAAATCCTTTCTTCTTCTTATTTTTTATAGATATTGAAATAAAAGTTTCTTTTTACATTTTTATCTTGTTATATAAAATATAATTGATAATAAAGTTTAAAGTTTAAAGATTAAATACAGTTACAAAGATCGAAGAAGTAAAAATTTTTTATATAATTGAAATCATCATGCATTGTATGTTTAAATTCATAGAACATTTTCGATCAAATTCCATCACTATCAATCATGTAGTGTTACTTCATATTTCTTTTTTTTGTCTTCTTTTTTATTGCAACGTGTATTTGTACATGAATATAGATCTACATTACTTCTCCTATTTTTTTTTATTATTATGCTCATAGATGTATGTAATCTATACCATTGATAAAATTTCGATACAAAATCTACTTTTTTCTATGTGATACTCTTTTGATCTTTGCTCTTTTCTTTCATTTTTACTATGCTAAAAAGATTTAATGATAGAATGAAGATGATTGAATTTTAATAGATGATATGCTAATAATAGCTTATTTAGATTGATTTTACTAAAAGATGTAAGTGAGCATATTTTTTTATGACTCGATACTTCGACAAAATTTAGAGTAAATATCTAATACTTCTTTCTCTTTTTATGGCAAATGCATTAGTAGTGTAACAGTAAAAATTTCGTGCCGTTTATTATACCTATTTTTCTTTCATTTATTTTTTTTTTCTGTTTATGCCAAAATAACTAACATTAGTCATTATCGGTAACTATTGTATTGATGACTGTCCTTCTTCAATACAGGTAAAAATTTAATCAGATTTGTTTTTGTACCAACGAAAGGGTATTGAAACTAAATTGATTAATAACATCGTATAACAAATGATGGAAAATATACAATTACGTAATGAAGCTCGCCAACCAGTTAAATGAATCATTTTTGTACTAAAAAGAGACATTTGAACAGCTGAAAAACCTCGTTTGAACATTTTTTGTTCATAATCAGACAGAGTTGATGATGAAGGATTTAAAAGTAGATTAGCAAGATCAAATGCATCAGCAAATGTTGTATTAGCACCTTTTCCAGCATGTGTAGTCATTAGATGAGCAGCATCACCAAGTAATGTTACACGAGAATTATTTGGAAATGGATTTTGTTTTAAACATAAAGCTGAATAAAGTCGATAAGGACCTATATTTGTTGAATATGAACTTAATTCAATTAAACGAACAATTTCATCATTATTAAAATATTGACGAGCTTTATTAATTAATTGAATTGATGTTAAATTTATTTCTTCATGATTTTCTTTTTCTGGCCATGAAAGAGCCCATATCCATGATTGTCGAAAAGGTAAAATAAGTAATGAATGACCTTGTGTACCGAATATTCGTACAAGACATTGTTTTGTTAATTGTTGAATTTGTTTCATATTATCATTTTGTTCAACAGTACCTCCTACATTAATAATATGAAGATCATTTCGTTGAAATTCTGGAATAAGTTGAGCACGAACAATTGATTTAGCTCCATCACAACCAATAAGAATTGTACCTCGTGTAGATGTACCATCTTCAAAATAAGCTTCAATACCATCATCAAATATTTTATATGATATAAATCGTTTATTCCATTGAACATCAATATTTGTTAGTAATGCTCGTCGAAGATCTTCTCGATAGACTAATTTATTATCTTTTGCATTGAAATCAATTAATTTTTGAAGATATTTATTAACCAATCGAAAATAAGATAAAGTATAAACTGCATCTGATTTATCACATAAAAGATTATCAAGAACTCGAATTTTATGTAATACATTAAGTCCCATTGAATCAAGGCCAATACAATAACCTTGTTCACGTGAATTTTCATCCCTATCACGTTCAAATACTAATACTTTAATTGAAGACGAGCTTTGTAATAATAATTGAGCTAAAGCTAGACCTCCTAAGCCACCACCAATAATAAGAACAACAGTTGTCGAATCAATAGACATGTTTTTATTTAGTTTTTTTTCGGTTTATTCAAATGTAATAAATGTTTTTATACTCCAAAACAAGAATTGTTGTTGCTGACGCAATATATAACAAATGACGTCAGCAGTTTATAATAAATGGCGTAGAAAATAAAACATTTAGGTTATCTGAATACGATACTACTACTATTATTATTATTATTATCATTATTATTATTAAACGAAAAGATTGTCGAAGACTGATGAGTCAAGAAATATTAATTAATATAAAAATTTCTTTGTTTTTTCAATTTAATCTTTGATGATCTGAAGAGAGATGTCACTGATTTAAGGACATGTTTTAAAATAGCTCATCGAATATAAATTATGAAAAAAATTTTCTTCTCTTTTTATCAGTCTTACACTCATGTGCACCATGTGTGTGTCCTTGTCCACTTTTTCATTCTGTTGAGTACATGACAATATTTCTTTGAATGATTCATATTCTATGCTCTTTTTTTTTCTTATTTTTGTTATGTCGAGGTAAAGAAAGGTTTTTATTTGAATTTTTTTCTTTCGTTCTTCATTTGTTCTCTATCTTCAATCTATTAGAGATCTTGTCCTCAATTTATGTACGATAACGGTTGACCAAACATCAGACATATAGTAATTGAAAGTTTAAACACGAATGAATGAAAGAAAAAAAAGAAACTGAACCGATCTTGTGTTTGCATCCGTGCGACAACAAGATTGAACGAAGGTAAAGAAAAAAAGGTCATATGTTCGCTTATTTCTCTGTAGTCCATGAGACTAAACTATACTTCTTATGGTCTATTGGTCGACCCGATAGACAAACATAGAACGTGTATGCCATATACATTTCAATCTGCCTATGTGTATAACACTACCTTGCACAGTACAGAGCAATAGAAATAAAAAAAAAAAAGAAAAAAAGTATGAAAAAGGAACGAAGAAAAAAAATGAGCTATTCTTCATACTCAGTCAAGTCATCGTCAACATTATTTGTTGAAACAAGGAAAGAAAAGAATTTGACTGAGGTAAAATTGTCGCATATATTATTTCTTTTTTTGCGGCTTGGCAATAGGTTTTTTTCCGTTTCTTTATTCAAAAAAAACTGTTTGAATAATCAACGATTGCGTTGTATAGCACATGTAATAGATGTATTAAAAAGTAAGTGTATTATAAGAAAGGCAAAATGACAGCAAAAAAAAGAAAACCACAAGTAGTTCTATCATGATTATTGTGTCAAGAAGAACTTTTTTCTCCCGTTGTCTCTCGTTTTTTTATGATTTATATCGCTGACAAAATTACAAATTCATTTTTTTAATTCTCTCGTGTATTCCGAAGAAAATAAAGTTCAAATTAACAAGTAAGAATGATTAAAATTTTAGAATTCTAAAAAAATATAACATTTCATTTTAAACATTAATTGCAAAAAGTACAAAAAAATCAACTTTTATTTTTTGTTTTTTTTTGTTTTTAGATGTTCTCGATTATATTTATATATTTTCCTATTTTTCTAATATTTGTATCGACTACATACACTCAACCGTTGCAATGGATTTTACTCAGTGATGGTGCAAGTACAGATACACCAGAAGTACGACGTGATGCTGCACTTGGTTTTGATAACGGATTTCTTATTTTATACGGTGGTCGAGGTCAAACAGGAATACCTATTCAAGATTGTTATTCATTTAATCTTGTGACAGGTAATCAATAAAATCATCATAATATGTTAATTAAACAAACTTTTCTTTTCCTCTTTTTTTTTAGGTCACTGGGATACACTTACTTTTCCAGCTCCACCACCAAGACGTTATGGTATGGCATCAGCTAATTTAATGAATGGTGGTTTATATATATTTGGCGGTTTTGGTTTACAAGGTAGTTCAAGTCCATTTTATAATCCATATTTATCTTATGCAGCTGCTCAAGAGGTTCCAAATTATAATTATGAAACACCACCAAATTTTATTCAAAATCCAATATTAATGAATAATCCAAATTTTATTAATAATCCAAATTATAATCCATTGAGTGGAACTGGCTATAATAATGTTAAAGATCATATTGATGATGATGATCGTGTTGATGTAAATTATTATCCATTTCATGATGCTTGGTTTCTTAATTATGCGTATGTATTTATTTTGAGTATTGTCTTTTATTCAATTTTCTTCTTTTGTTTCTTTTTTTTTAAATTAGTACAAAAGCTTGGCAAGAAACACAAACATCACAATATGCACGTGGTTTTGGTTCAGCAGCTGCTTCAGCACTTGCGACTGGTGTACCAAAAGTTTTATATAGTATGGGTAAATCACGTGATTGGATGTATTCATTGGTTGAAGTCATTGGAAAGGGTACATCAGGTCTTAGCCAAACGGGTACTACACAAGCAGCAATGAGTAAAGTCTTTATATAAATATATATTTTTGTTTAAATCTTAGAAAATTTTCTTTTTCTTTTTTTTTTTTAATAAATATTAGTTATGAATGATTTACCATCATATAGTCCAGCTTATCCACATGCTCGTTATGGACATTCTACAGCATTACTTACTGATAATCATCTTTTACTTTATGGTGGATGTCTAAGGTATGTAACATTATTAATTAAAATAAAACAAACATATTTTTCTCTAACGTCAAACAACAATTTCTCTGTCTTTAGTGGTTATGGAAAAGGTGGTCCGTGTCCATCAAAAGATTCATGGTTATTATATATTGATCGTGGACATTGGGAACGTTTAGGTGAATGTCCACCAACAAAAACAGGTGCTGCCATGGTTACACTTCCTTCATATAGTACATGTGCTGGAATGGGTCAAAATGCAGCAGATATGTCGGCAAGTATGAGTCTAGGACTTGAACAACCAGTAGCTGTCTTATGGGGTGGTAGTGAATTTAATCCATCATCCATTCGTGTAAGTAATTTAAAAATAAAAATTCAAACCTTTATTTATTATTCTATTTAACAGACATATCCAAGTCCACGTGATGAAGTCGCTGTATTTAGTTTAAATCAAAAAGAATGGTATTTAAAACGAGCAGCTCCATCTCCAACAGTAAGTTCATATGAATTAGATAATGATTAATTTCATCAGATAGAATTCTAGAATTCTTTTACTTATGAGGAAACTATCTAGAACCCGTCGAATTCAAATTTTCGAATCCGGATCCGGCCTCGATTGAACTGTATTTTGATACTGTCAATGAAATTTTCTTTTTTGTATTTGGTGACTAGTGCACCCTACATATTTCTTAGACGAGTCGTCTGAAAAAATGTGTAGGGTAGAGCCTATCGGTTCCAAAGTTTTCGAATGCGAACTCGGTTCACGAAAAATTTCTAGACCTTAGTGACATGTCTGTGGCAAAAGGCTATTTTTAGAAATTTTATATCTTGACGAAGGGATATTCTTTTCGGCGAAAACTATTAGGATATTCTAAAAGTCATTAGATCTATCTATATACAAAATTTGAGATTGAAATTCCATGATTTGATATTTTCCGGACTGCCTACAAGTGAATCGAAAATCCAGTAAACCTGGTATAGCTCGACTCCAAAGGCGCATGGGAACGAACTTTTATAGACTTTTCATAGTCTCACCGAAACCTCCCCTAGTTCTAATATGAGCTCAAATGGCGGATATCAGTTTAAGTAGTTCCCTTGTTAGTTTTTTAGAGTGAACTATTGATCAGTCTTCGTCTTTTTCTTTTGTTTTATGTCTTTTGAGATAAAATATAATTGTCACCACATAAAATGTTGTCTGTTCTTATTATTTTTTTTCCAATAAAATACTATAAAATATGTATAAACTAATTTTAATGTTCATTGAATAGGATGGTAGTTATCCAATGCAAAGAGAAGGTGCTGCTTTTGTTGCTGGATGTTTTCAAGGTGTACCTGGTATGTTTGTTTTTGGTGGACGAGCTACCATGTATGTATATTAAATTGATTATTCATTTTAATATGTCTACAAATATGTAGTGATCGTCGTTTGCTTTCGGATCTTTGGTTTTTACAAGCATCACCACATGATGCATTAGCTGCACCGAATTCACGTGGATGTATTTATCCATTTTCATATTATCATCTCCATGGTATATTTCAATTTTTTACTTATGGTTTTATTTTTCCAATTGGTTATTTTGTTGGTCGACATACTGTAGACTCACCTGTTCGACGACCTTTACATATGATTTTACAAGTAAATAAATATATTGATTTAAAATTTAAATTAATAATTTTGTTTTTTATTTAGATTTTTGGTGTTTCATTAGCAATATGTGGTTTTTCTTTTGGTATACATTCTGTTCGTGCACCATCATGGCTTCATTTTAAACATGCTCATGCTATTATTGGTATCATAACATTTATATTAACAATTATTCAATTTCTTCTAGGATTGTATGTTAAAATTTTTATCTTTAATTATTTATTTCTTCTTATGTTTGTTTCTTTTGTTGTTGTTTTAAAGACTTGGTGCTCTTATTTTAAGAAGACATTCTAATAATATTGAACGTCTTAGTGGATCAAGTCATAAAAGTAGTTTAGAAGGATTTACTAAAGATACATGGGGTGGTGCTGGTGCATGGCGTATTATTCATTGTATAATAGGTTCAATTGTATTAACACTTGGATTAGTAAATATATCATTAGGTGTCTTTCTTGCTGTATTACCATTACCTGTTTGGGTTGGTTGGTATATTTATATGAGTCTTCTTGTAATTATTCTTGCTGTCATGGAAATTATTGCACTTGTACATCGTCGTAATCCTTCTAAGCAAGGTTCATTTAAAACAAAAGGTAAGAAAATAAATAAAAATAAAAAAGTTTTGTTTTTATTGTTTTTTAAATTTTAAAAATCTCTATCATATAATCCAGAGAGAATGATTGAATATACGATTTATGATCATCATAGTGAGTTTATATTTAGAAAAATATTTTTTTTTGTGTCTTTAGTTATAAATAGATGTGATAGTTATTTGTTGTTTTGTTATTTTAATTTTGTTTTTGTTTTATACAATGAGGAAAAACAAAAAGAAAAGGAAAAAAGATTTCTAGGAAAATTTGTGTACATATATATGTTGTTGTTTTTCTTTTAATTGTTGTCTTCAATGTAGAAATACGTGTGGATCCCAAAGGTACATCACAATTATCATTAAAATATTACGAAGAACCAACTGAACAACAATCATCTATTGTAATACCTACACCACGTCGTAATTTTGGTCGTGTTCCATTATCTAATTTATCAACACTTGATAATAATGTATATAGACATGGTAATGGTAGTGATGGAAGTATTCTTGATGATATGGCACCGCTTGTATCTAATCAAAGACAGCCTCGACCTGGTGATGTTAATGCATCAGCTAGTCTTCCAGAATATAATCGATATAATGATAAAGAATATCCAATATCAACAAGAAAAAGGAATATACCAGGTGAAAGTGATGATGTTGGTTATTCACAAGAACATGAACAACAATCGTTGTATGTCGAATATTTCACATCCGTGTCCATGATTTTCTTTTCTTGGACCGGTGTTTGCTTCATTGACACGCTTTGTTGTTATTTTGTACTCTTATATTCTGATATCTTACTATTGACTTTTGAGTTTTTATAGCACGATTTGATGTCCTTGCACTTTTGCTTTGCTTATTTTAATGCTTAAAAATTTTTTGATACTATTTTAAAATTGATAATTTTTATATATTTTGTTTTTTTGTTATTTTTATAGACGACCGGTATCTCAGCAACAAGTCGAGCACAATCTCACTCGAATTAGGCTCCAATAAACAATGGATGGCACCAAATTCTCAATATCTTAATTCAGGTCAAGCTTCTTCCTCCACAATTCATTCAGACAGATTTCCATTATATCGACGAAATTGAAGAAGAGAAAAAATAATTTAAATAATGTATGAATGAATTTTTTTGTTTACAGTCTGTTTTTTTTGTTCCTATTTCTCAGTGAAAGATCTATATCTATGTGGTAGTTTATATTTATGAAATATTTGAAAACTCCTTTTTTTTTTTTTTAATTTCGTTCAAGTTTTTCTTCTCTTTGACAATTTTCATCTGCTTTTTTTAATCTTCATAATGTTGTTGTACAGATGTTTTTTTTCATTTGTATGAATTTTGTCATGTCGTCGATATACATTCATAATTTTATATATATATATATATACATATATAGATACACACAATGACAAGGTTTTCTTTTTTCATTCTGATAAAATCTTAATTAATATTCGTATAACATAGATTTTTTATTGCAAATGACAATCATATCTTATTTTCATCATGAAATAGATTTTTTTTTTATACTAATTAGAATATGAACTTGACATATATTGTGTCAATATTTTTGTTTCTATAGGATAATTATTATTCAATATTGATAACAGATTAAACTTAGACAATTGATTGATTAGGTGTTATATATTCATTATAATGAATAAACTGAATTGAAATATTTATTTCGAATCTATATATAAGTTTGATAAGCAACTGGTTAATCGAACTCTGACTAACATGTAAAGAAAATATTTAAATTGTCACTATTTTTTAGTTCATTCATTCGACATTTATCAATGAATTAAATCCTATAATTACATAGTTCTATATAGTTAAGTTGTATCGAGTTAAACCAAATGCATTGTTTCACAAAAATATACTGCAAAAAAATAAAAAGCTTACGACACTCGGTATTCCCAGGCGGTCACCCATCCAAGTACTAACCGAGCCCGACGTTGCTTAACTTCAGTGATCGGACGAGAACTGGTGTATTCAACGTGGTATGGCCGTAAGCATATGTTACTTATTCATATAGATAATACTATATAAATTTTATTCATATGGAAGAGTTTTTCGTTTCATTAGATACTTCAATCTATTTTATTGGAAATATCAGAATCTCGTACAACTCATCTAAAGATTATAATTCGTTTTTTTTTTATTTTTGAGCTATACATTTAGTAAGGAATAATAATCATCAAAAGTTTTCTTAGAATTATTTAGCTGTATTTATTAATCGTCAAAAATTATTCACGGTTCCAAACTTGCTCTATATCTGAGTTTTTTAAATTTGACAATATACTCATAGAATTAAACATTGGAAAACATTTGATGACTGTGATGAAGTTTATAGTAAAAACAGAAAGAAAATGACATTTTCGATGATGAAATGGACATAAAAATTGATTGAAATGAATGTTTTAATCGAGTCAATAGAATGAAAATATTCCTTTTAATCAATGAATTTAAAACATATCAAGTTTTATGTCCGTTTCATCATTTTAATGAATTTTATTTTTATTTTATAAGACTCTTGATACATCGTTCATATTGTGAAAGTTTCAAAACGAAGGTATAATTTGAAAAAGATAATCGTCGATTACATATAATACGAAGTATAAAATGGAATATAAGTATGGAATAGATTTTATAAGATAGAGCATCGAATTCAAATTTGATAATGAATTTTTCATCTTTTTAGAAAAGAACTCATAACTTCTCTCCATAAATCTCCGTTCGAACTAAGTTTTAGTTTCTGAAATAAAGTAAATATTGCTCTATGTTTTCATTGATTTTTTTTTATTCAGAATTAATTACCTCACAATGAGCTCTAGGCATCATAAAGACAACTACTCATCGGAAGAAAAAATTTTTTTGGCATAAAAAATATCTTTAATTACAAAAGAAAAGAATTAATTAAATCATTCGATTTCTCAGTACACCCACACCTCAAGATGTTCATGTTACTTAAAGTACGTAATTCATAGTTGATACTCATACAAAAGTTGTAGTACAAATCAAAGATTATCTATATACAGAGTATGAGCAGTATAACTTTAGTTCCAACGTTTGATTCGTTTTCTTGCTTACTAATTCTCAAAAAACTGCTCGAGTCCTTGCCTCTGAATCCGATCAATTTTAGCAAGAATCTTTCAGTCGATCTTCTGAGCCATCGCTCCCCACTTCTCCAAATCCTGGAGACCTCAGCACACCTCTGATGCTAATAGTTTTATTCTTAATCAATTTTTTCTTTATTTCGGAAAACATCTGATGGATTTGTGATGTTTATACTGCTCATACTCTGTATATAGATAGTCTTTCATTTTTACTACAACTTTTGCACCAGTACCAACTATGAATTACGTACTTTGAGTAGTGCGAACATGTTTTTTTCTGCAATCATTCATCAAAATCCCACGCATTTTACATTAGATGACCAAATTTGAAAGTCAAAATAGCTTGATTGATCGATTTAAAATCAATTCTGTAATGCAATCACAAACATCATTCGAATGTAATAACAGAAATTTAATGAAGATCACACTTCAGAATTATGAAAAATATATATGATAATATAGATTTTGTGCTGAGGAATTGAATGATGTAATTAATTCTTTTCTTTTCAGGTTAAAAACATTTTTCATGTCACAAAAATATTTTCTTCCGAAGTTTACTTGCAAATTGATTTGAATGATCGAATTAGGAAATAAAAAACCGTTGACGTGATCAAATTAGAAATGCAGTAGAACAAACCAAAATAATGAGTAGTTGTTTTTGTGACGTCTAGTGCTCATTATAAGCTAATTGATTTTGAATAAAAAATTAATGAAATGTAGAGCCATATTTACTCTATCTCAGCAACTAAAAATTAATTCGAACGAACGTTGTGAAGAGAAGTTATGAATTCTTTTCTAAAAATATGAAAAATTCATTATCGAATTTGGTTTTGACGCTCTAATAAAACATCGTCAAACACCCTTGATCTGGCAATAATTTTGTTATTTAAAAACAAGAAAGTAAACGACTATCTTATCTATTCTAGGGTTAGTATACAAAAAACCAAAATATCAACATACGCAGCATTGCAAATACTACTAATTAATTTTGTATGCATGTCCTATGGTTCTATCTATGTATCTCATCTTAAATTGGGAATTCTCATCGCGCTCTATATGATTATGTGAAAAAGGTCTAGTCTATGATAATTCAAGCAGATGACACATAGCAAAAACACTATTTAAAAGTCAGTAAAATCCATGAAATCGAAATTTGTAATTTTCATTTATTATAGAAATATGATCCGTGTGTGTGTTTCCATCACTTCTAGTGATTAATAGCATCGGTTTGTTTTTTTTTCTTGTTTTGACAGTTTCTTCTTTTTTTCTTTATTTAATTGTCGTATTTTTTTGAGTTCTTTCGTGAAGAGACATGAGTAAGAAAGATATTAAACAACAATTTCTCATTATTATAAGAGCTTAAGGCAATGAAATAGTTTAAACCGCTTGAACTATCGAAATGCGAAGTAAGTAAAAGTGCAACTGCAAGTTTACAAGCAAAAATCAGACGTACTAGATGGAAAAATGATATTCTTTGTCTCTTTTCGAGTAAATTATCATACAACATTTTTTTTAACGCTTTTGATGTCTTAAATAAGTTGAAATTGATAAATGTCGATCAAAATAAATTAGACTTATTTAATCATACTCACACAGACAGACATATTGATTTTTGCACGTTTTTTGAACAAAAGTAGCGAGTTTTAGTTGATTTTTATGCGTCTTTTTCGATTATTTTCAAAAAGGCACAAAAAGTTATGTATTTATTGAAATTTTTTCTGTCCAATTTCGTCACACTCATGTAGAAAAATGATTGAAAGATTATTTTAATCAAAAATCGCCAATTGTATCCCCAAAATTTGAAGTTTTAAGCGTTTAGAACTACAAATTTTTTTCATACCAAATTAGATTTCATTTTTCTTTGAAAATTCACTCTTATTGACTATTTACTTCAACAAGAATGATAACATCCTTCTTTCTCTGATTTATTTTAATTGAGCTGATGTTGTTTGTCGTATATATATATTTTTTTTGTAATTCAGATTGTAATGAAGGATTAATGCACGAAAAAAACAAAGGTTCTAAATCCCAGAAATTGATATGCATACTAGTTGTAGTTCTGAGAAAAAAAAAGTCTACGATATATGAACGCTACACGATTAGTTCACATCGACATGCAACTACAAATATCCATCGTAGCAAATACTTTAGCATAATTAAATAGCTATATACCGGGTGACCCAAAAGTAAGGAAAAATAATGGGTATCTAGTAATAACTGATAAAAAACTGTTAATGATATTTTTCATACTTTTTATTGATGTAGAGAGCTAAAACTTTCAGCAATAAAAGGTGTTAATTAGATATATATGTAATAAAAATTTCAGCTCTTTACATCAATAAAAAGTATGAAAAATATCATTAACAGTTTTTCATCAGTTATTATGAGATACCCATTATTTTTCCTCACTTTTGGGCCACGCAGTACACTTTCGGACATATTTGATCAAAATATTTAAAAAACTCGAGAAAAATTTTTTAGAACGGAGGTGATTGCGTCCTAAATTCGCCACTACGTTTAATGTTCTATTTTGACAACAAAGAGATATTTTTTTAACATATATGTAGTTTTTCTTTATTATCGAGTTGTCAATACGCAAGAATCGAGGGACACATTGTTTTTTACTGATCATATGCGCTTTTTATGCAGCTAATTGGTTGATGACAAATATAGGATAGATATTACATGTTTAAAAATGTGTAATTCTTGTCATTCATTTACAGTATGAGATACAAATTTATTGTTTAATGAAAATTCTTTTTTTTTATTTAACAATCAATTCATAGGAATAGAAAAAAAACATACATCTTATTAAAATATATGTAAGTACTAATTTTTCTGTCAAGTATATATTTCTTAATACAGAAATATTACCTTCCAAG